ATTTCATTATTCTTAGATGAGTCAGTAAGCGTGGAAAAAGAAATTAAATGGGCAGCCAATCAACACACAAAAAAAAATCAGATACTCTGTGGCCAAGAAAGTATTTATATGCTGATGACTCAACTTTTGCAGCCGTGTCTGCAGCAAGACCAGGAAATATACTGTTGAACCCTCTTACGACAACAACTTTGATGTGAAGGGCCAGAATAGCTCATTCTGCCTGCTGTGATTCAGAAAGCCGGAGCTGTAATCCTGGATCTCTGCACAATGCACTCACAAGAGCTTCCGAGCTCATCAAAGGACATCAGAAATACAAGGGTCCTGCAGGACACATGGTAAGTAAATGGCTTTCAAAGACTTTGGAAAGGAACACAGATGACAAAGGGCTCTGGAAGCTCTGCTGCTGTTTTACGTACAATGTGTATATAATATATAGGGCTCATCTACCTCTGCAGTGGTAGGTGACTGCTGCTACACAGTCGCAGAAGAGACAAGGTCCTCTGTCCTTCTATCATGGCAGGAAAACGTGTATTGGAATTTTCTGAACTCAGAACCTACAATTTACCACATCCTTTCATGAGTATTTGTGCTGAGGCTCGAGACAGCCACTTCTTTACAAAGTTTAGGAACTGCCTCTTATGTGCTGATTATAATTTGTTTCTTCTTGCACTGCAGATGTTGTGGAGGACGTGGTGAAAGCAGTGTATAATACTGTCCTGCAGCAGTAATTCTTACAGGAGATATATGCTGGGGCAAGGCTACCAAATCAGCTGTGTGTCTGACTTTAATGACACTATAAATTGGTAGAAACTGAGAATTTATCAGTGGATTTACATTAGTTAACTTCAACAATTTTTAAAATGCAATACTGGCAAATCTGTAGATAGAGACAGTAAATATATTAAATTGGTTGCCAGCTAGGTTTCATTTTCTTGATACCCCCGGTAGTACTTCACAAACCACCTGAAAACTTCAAGTTTAAATCAATATAAAAATTAATCCCACCCCTTCTACAAGATGATGATTGATGCAGGCTCACAGGGCATGCAAAAGCATGCAAACAAGTCTGATCTTAAAACCAGAAGCATAAGTGAATGATGTTTTTCAGTATTATTTTGGTCAGATAAAATAAAAAAGGTTTGGGAACCTGAATATGTTTTTCCAGAAAACAATGCCAAATAAAACCAAATCAAAATAAGGTCTTCCTTCAGAGCAGCACAGGGAGGAGATATGGAAGTACAGGAGGTTCAGATTTGTTCTAAATAATTTCCTTCTCACAGATCCAAAGCTGCTATCTGCTGTTAGGCTCTGTTTTATCCTTCTCCTGGAGAATGCTATTCAGACTGCCCTTTTCACCTACTAAATCCGAGCAGGACAGAAGCAATATAATGCTGCTGCAGCATGCCCAAGCTGCTATCTGTCTTTTCTAAATTTCCTTAATATGACCATAATACTTGGAGATTAAGGTGTCCCTTGAGTGTGAACATCTTTCTCTCTGTCACTGGTTATCCGTACAGCTAACTTGGTAACTGGTCTCTTGTTTCCTCCTGCAGTCTCATACTAACACTCTGCAGGCCATGTCACACACAGCCCTTTGTAATCTCTTGTACGGACTTCTTGTAGTTGGTGATTTCTAGATATTGGCTTTTATAGCTCATAAAGCCACTAGTGGATATCAAATTTAATGTTTTCAGCTGACATCAATGATGTGTTTTATCTCTCGCTCTGAATTACAGCATTTCTGGGATTTGCAAGTTCAAAACTAATACAGCACAGCAGAAGAGGCCTTTTAATCCTGCTTATTAGCAGAAGGGAGTTTCTGACATAACCCAAAGGCTCTGGCAGACAGACACCACACAGCTGAAGAACAGACACTGCAACACAATGGATTCCAAGCACTGATACCTCTGGCAAATGAGCTCCACTGGAGAAGCAGCATTCTTATTTTCAGGAAAGAAGCCACCTTACTCAGACTAATACTTACCCTTCTGAAGACATGTCATCTTCCATTAAAAAAAAAAAAAAAGAGGTGCTGATAGCTTGGTTGAGGCAGCTGGGAGAAAGGGTAAGAGAGAATGCAGGCTCACAGTGGAATGGAGGTACTTAAAACCCGAGCAAAAAGCTGAAGCTTTCAACCACTAAAGAGCGTGCATTATTTACTGCATGCCACTGGACTGAGCAAGTTTCTCAGCTGGCCACAGTTTACCCATCTCCTCTACCAAGCAGCATTACAGGAATGTAATGCACTGACAAGCAGGGTGAGAGGGGACAGAGTTGGAGTGCCCTCCTCCAGGAAACTGCGCGTGCCCAGCTTGCAGCCAGAGGCCAGGTGAGCTGGGCAGCGTTTCTCTGGCTGTGGCACCAGTGTGGTGGAACAGACTGCTCCAACACAGCACAGGAACCCAAGCTGTGAGCAGCTGGGAAAGGTGTCTGTGCAGCAAAGCCTTCCTAGCACCATTAATGTTTTATTTTTCAGATTATACTGTAATGACATCCTAACCACGAGAAATCAAATTTCCCATCATGTCATGATTTCATCACATTAATTTCTCTCAGATCCCCAACTCTTACGATGTGCAAAACAATCATGGCACTTCTTTGGTATGTTTTTGTCATCTCCAAGATTCTCCTGTAATCTGTAACCAACTGACAACTAACATTTATACACCACTCCCCACAAACACCACCCAGGAAGAGAGTAGACACAATATTTTATGCTCACTTAAGCACAACTATCCTGTTTTCACACTCAAAGACAGATGGGGCATTTAAAGCATGCAAGTTGTAGGCACAAATCCGCATCACACCCTGGTCACCAACATGAAAATTCATCCTATTACCTACAACCAGCATTAAGCAAATCATGCAGGGCAGATTGTCCTCTATAAAACATCATGTTAAGACCACTTTTTAAGAAGAATGGCTACATTGCTAAATATTTTCCAACAAAATATTGTTGAAAGGATATTGAAATATTACTCTTTCTCCATTCATGGGACATGACTGGACAGCATTAATGATCCAAATCCATAACCACAACTTCCCAAATGGGGACTCTGGGATATCAGCAGTTGCAGTGACATGATTTTTTTTTATGCGCTGGGCTTCTTTAAAATGAAAATAGACTATTCATAATTCATTTCCCTTCCACTGACTGAAGAACCTTCATTTAAAGAAAAAAAACCATTCACTTGAATGTTAAGAGCATGCATGAATCAAATATGGAACTAAAAGACATTTAATGATATTTGCACAAACACTCCAGCAATGACTCTGATTTTAATTATCTAGTGGATGAACCCTGCCTGTGAACAAGTCCAATGGTATTTTGCAGCCAATTCCTAACTCTGTGGTCCATGTCTCCTAGACCAATCTTGCTTTGCAGCTTTTGCACAAATATTTTTCATTCTGCACCCTAGTTTTACAGCCCCTCAACTTTTTCCTCCACATTTTAGTTTCTAAATGCTCTCTGTTTCTATCTATACAATCAACCACAGTGCACACAAAATATAATGTGGAATACAAAACTGTAAAAATAAAATCTGGGAAAATTGCAAGCAATTTTTCTAGCAAAAAATACATGTTTGAGAAGATATAAATAAAGATTTTAATAAGCCTCACACAAACAGGCACATGCCTACTCATTCCTCCAAATTGTCAGAGCTCTTGCATAAGACTTCTTTTATATTCATTTTAGTCCCTGAAGTTATACACGTCTTAAAGTTAAAAAAGATAGACTTGTTAATAACACACAAATGTTCATAGACATAACATCTTTACAGATATCCTCTGTGAGCAGATCAAGCCACTCTCCATATGTATTTAAATGTAGTGGAAGGCTGAAGTTTTTAAGTTGTCAGATCTGTGCCTGGGTAAGAGGGGCTCTATTTTCACTCTTGGAGCAGGGAGAGATTAGCAGCTTGAAATCACTTTGACAGTTTCAGTTACTCTCCTGCATACTGCAAGGAATTTTAATTCCAACCTGTGAAATTGTAATTGCTTCTCAAGAAGAGCAGGAGGATTCTGGGTAATGGCCACAGCCAAGCTCAGTGTCAGAGTTGCCAGTTGCTGCCACTTCTGATATTATTTGCTGTTATTCAAAAATCACTCCAGCTTTCCATATGGGAAGTTGAACCGGGAAGTGAAACTAGGTTAACAGTAGCTGTCAGATGTTCAGAGATGTGCAAGGAATGATGTAACAGAAGTGAATCTCCTCAAAAAGCACATTTTCTTCTTTCTCTTGCTTTATAGAACAAGCTTTACATAAAACACTTCTTCCATGTCATAATCTTTTTCTAAACAAGTATACTATTGCTAGAAACCTACAATGGAAAGACTAAATTACAAAGTCCTCCAGCATACAATGCTCAAGTAGAAAATAAAATGTGTGTACTTAATGCTGTTCACAACAGATTTAAGATGTCTTTGCTACTCAGGGTTCTGTGGTTTGCAAGATTCCTCATTGGAAACAGCCAAAGAGAACTCAGAGCTACCACAAACACTTAAGAAAAAATAGTTGAGGCTTTCTTGGTATCAAATGGAAATTATATTCTTTTTTTGCTCTGACAAAAGGTCATTGAATGTAGATTGCTTATTAGCAGACGCATTCTCTAGTGATGCGTGTGTTCAGCATGTGTGAAAGTGGGATCAATTGACTATGAGGTAACTTTTCCCACAATGACCTTGTTAAGCTGGAGTGCAGCAGATTTCTCACCCACTCTGATGACTTGCACAGAGGGAATACTTGGAAGTAGATGTCAAACATAATGTTGATGTAAAAATTAAAAATGCCACCTGGCAGGGTACTTAGGGCATTCAGAGAGCCAAACAGGATCAAAAATCACAGATCAGATGTTCAGGTCAACTCGTTCCATGAGGAGGATGTACTTGTACAGTTCACTCCACACTCACTGAGGTTTCCCAAGCTGCACCAGTAGCCCCAGGAACTCCAGGCTTGGTCCAGGTGAGCTGTTTGACCAGAACTGTTTTGCTCAGTTCAGTGGCTTTGGAAGATTTATTTGTACATATACAGAACACAACAATAAACACAATGCTGCTCTACAACACAAGTGTCAAAAACCTCTCTCAAAATCTAAAGGAAGGCAACAAAATACTTGATAAAAAACCACTTCCTACTTATCAGATTAAAGCTCAGTTTAAGAATATACTGCAGGCAATATAATTTACAAAGTCTTCTTTGGCCTCTTTCAGTATATTGCACTATTTCTAAGAAAATAAGCTGGTCCCATTAAAGTCAACGATGCACAGAATCTAAATCACAAGCTTCGTAAATCTCTGTAATAGCTGATGCAATGAGTCTGTAATTGCCACGATTAGATAAGCTAGAGTGGCTGACAGAGATAATGCTAGAGGCACACAACATATCTGCATAGATTATTCCCATCACATGCGAAAATTTGGCTGGGATATGATGATTTTGTCAATGCACAGTTTTCCTGAGAATCTTGCAATCTGTGGTATTTTCCCAAAAATTTCAACTCCCAGAGTCATGTTGGTGCATTTTTTTTTTCAGAGAATTTTTCAGATTTGTTAAAAAAGTAAATTACTGATTGTTATATATTCCTTGTTGTACAGAAAAGCCTGACAAAAAAAGCACCCCAATAAACAGAAGCAAATTAAAGGCATGGGTTGTTTTTTGTTTTATTTTATTTTAAAACTCATGGATTTTGAGTCTTGGCTTATGACCTTCAGTGGTTGCTATAAGAAATATAATATTCAAGTGATCACATATCTGATTTCCTGAAGACACTTACATCTGTTGTTATAATTTACAGGCTGTGCTGAAAGCATCATGGTGGAGCTTCCTGGTTAATTGTCTGTAACTATTACGGATCCCCAATTTATAAGGTACAAAGCACTCTTACTAGGGGATTATTCCTCTGCACTGTAGAGACAATGTACTGGTTTTGGCTGGGATAGAGTTAATTTTCTTCACGGCAACTGGTATGGGGCTATGTTTTGGATTTCTGCTGCTGAGGAGGGCTCACACAGAGTCAAGGCCTCTTCTGCATTTCTGGGAATGGCCGGGCACCTGCCTGTCAAAGTAATGAATGATTTATTTCCTTGGTTTGCCTTGCTTGCATGTGCAGCTTTTGCTTTACCTATTTAAGTGTCTTTACCTCAACCCCTAAGTTTTATCACTTTTACCCTTCTGATTCTTGCCCCCACCCCACTGCAGGGGGCTGAGCGAGGATCTTAGCTGCCTGCTGGGGTTAAACCACAACAGCCATGTAAACATGACAGCTCAGCTCCATCTGGATGTGACACAAACATTAAAAAAACCCTCAACAGTGCCTGTGTTATGATTTTAAACAGTCTCTGCAAGTGGAAATTTGGATGAAGATTCAGAAAGGTGACAAGGCATGAACAAACCAACAATATCATGAGGTGAGGTGCTGGAAGAACTGGGCACACAGTCCAGTCCCTGACTCACCAGCACACTCACAGGATGTCTGGAGATCCTGCCATGACACAATGGCTGAAGAAAGTAATTATAAATTTTCATTGTGTAAAATGCAACCTCCTCACCCACAGAGTAATAATTGTTTTACTGAGCCAGTGCAAAGCTAAGAGATTCCCAGGTAGTTCTCTAAAGATTATGTAAAATCTACAGACTGTATTAAATCCATCTTTTAACAGAACTCAATCAACAGAATAACATCTTCCCATTCAATTATAAAAATCCAACACCTTTAGAACTATTTCTACATAAAAAATTATTATTCCTGTATTAAAAAAGACTAATAATTCATTGTGAAGTCGAGAGATGAAAGATAGCAGGCAAGAATTCTTTCAGACATGACAGCAAATTAAATAGCAACAAATAACAAACTTTAATGGGCTTGCAGTGTTCATTCTAATGTAAAAAGACATACCAAATGATCACACTGCATCAAGCAAAATCTTTAGGAAAGCTTTAAATAATCTACCCATAAAAGATGACCAATATCACACAATGGAAAGATTCCTTATAAACTTAATGCAATTTTACCTGATACAGCAATTATGAAAAGAGTATGTAATGCAAATATTGCATCATTTTAGGAAAAAAAAGGAAAGGAAATATGCAACAACCTGTTCTACCAACCAAAGATCTCAGGTTTTGGCAAGATAGGCCTTCCCACAGCTTACTAACCTTCTCTCCTTTGAATGACAGGAAAGGCATAGAGCGAGTACAAATTATTGCCCAATTCATATTAGCTTTTTTTTTTCTAAAATAAAAAAAAAATATATTTGTTGGTAAAAGTGTTTCCTTTGAAGATTTTGAACAGCAGTTTCATTGTTTTCATAAAAGCCCCATTCAGTTCACAGTTCTGTTTTCATTCCTCCGTAGTAAAACATAACAAGAACTGCCAGCAGAGCCAGGCTGACAGACAGGATCTTCAGTCCTCCTCCCTCTTGTTGCCATGGCAGCTGCAAAGCCGTCCAGGAGCTGAGCTGTGCCTTCACTGGGATCTCTGCACAAGGCTGTGCTTTCCAGTCTGTGCCATTCTGTGCTGAACGTCGGAACTCCTGCGAAGAAATGCACGCATTAGGATTGAAACTGTGCTCTGTCTCTCTGATTGTACACACCAAATACACTCTCCTCTTTATAGAGAGGTTCAAATTAATGTCCTTTTCAAGACCAACAATTCAACCTGCACTGCATCATCACCAGGTCATCAGTTTTTCATACAGAAATCTCATAAATGCCATACAAAATCAGTATTTCTAATGACATTAACTGCCAAGTCAATGCAGCTGTTAGCAACAGAAACAAATCCCCAGACCTCACTGCCATCAGAGACAATTGTTTGATGGTTATTTTTTAATTTGTTTTGCTGCTATCTCACTACTTTCCGATTTTTGGCTTCTCCAAAAGAAATGTCTAACCAGTGATAAAGGGGACCACAACACTCAATCCTTTGCACAGCAGGGATCTTCTAAAGTCAATCATTGACTCCTGGTGTGCCAGCTCAGTGGTGCTTGAAAATCCTCCCAAAGGGCTTTTCCTTTCCCCTGACCCTCAGGAGGCAGCTGTGCTAAAACACTCACCTTCTCATTCAGCATATTGAATCCCAGCTCCCTGCTGTGCCTGCCATTACCATTCCCAACCTGACTGCAAGCACCAAGATCCCCAAGAATATGATGTCTTTTAACTGCAGCACAAGTTACAGATGTTGCATCACTATTTCAGCAGACAATCCAAGTGAAAAGAATAAAAGGCTTTTTTCTCTCACAGTCTTATTCAGTTCAGTATTGTAGATACTCAAAAGGAAAAACATCCAGTGAAGCTCTGATGACATTTGCAAGAGATATAAGTGGTAAAGGTGTAATTAAACAAAGGTGTAACAATGCTGCATCATAAGATGCAATATTTCTGTTTTCCTCCCTCTATTTGAATCATCTCTTGGGAATTCAATTGATTTCAGCTGGATTTTTAATTGGTTTGAAATTTTCCAGTTAAAAAAAAAGGTTTTTGGTTAAACCATTTTATTTTTTACTCTTTCACATTTTGTATAAAATAATCAGGGACCCAGAAAGTACCTATCTGGATAATCTTGTATTTCCAAGAAGCTGAAATGGGGCCACATGAAAATACAGACCAGATGCCTGCTCTGTCTTTTACCAAACATATTTCTGGGCAAACTCAAAGAAATATCAAAGCTTCAAGAAAGGTGCCTGCCCATGAAAGTGTGACAGCACAATTCAAACCTCCTGTAACTCGCTCCTGTTTTCCATTTCAGCAATCAGCTCCATTATAGTAATTGTAGAAGAAAATAATGATTACTACTGGTTAGGTAAGTAAGCATCAAAGGGGCAAATGACAGCCTGGAGTAAGTGCTATTCTAACAACTGAGTTATTGCTGACTTAAAGCCCAATTCACACAGGCAAAGGGTTACTGATCAAGTGAGCTATGAAATGAGGATGACTTCTCACACATAAGCACCTAGAAAAATGTCAACTGGGTAAACAGAGGAAAGAAACAGGTAAGGACACTGGGGTGTAATTCTCCACAGTGAGAGTAACAGCACAGCTCCAGAACTTCAGTCTATATTGTGCAGAACATGTTAACTTAATCAAAAACTAATGTTAAGTTATTAATTACAATCAATTTCTAAGGTGTCTGAAATTTTAGCACTTGACCACAGCTATTTTGTCCTCCCAATAAAGTTGATTAACCTTTGCCTGAACATTAAACTGGAAAATGTACAGAATTAAGGATTTTTTACAAATGAGTCAAAATTCTTCTGCAATTTTTTCTTTCTAGACATTTATAAAGCATTTCTTTTCTTTGTAGGTCTTACAAATCTCTAATGTAAGGTGCTTAATTTAAGGTAATGATCTGTTTTTATATGTATTGTTGGTACATTAACACTAAGGCTAAAATAATTTAATGGAATGGATAAGGCTGTAAAAATATCAGTACAACTAAAGTCTTATTTCTTCTGATATTTATTTTTCACTGAATTATGACTTAAAATTTGGCTGACTACAATCAGCCTATTGACTCCTAATTAAATATTTCTACACTGCATGATAAAATCATAGCTATTTACTCATACAGGACTGGATGCTATCCCTTGGCACACTGATAAAAAGGGCCAGTACCTCATAAATAATGTTGGACCTTCTCCTCAATGCTCCTCTTCATGCTTAGCTTCAGTTCCTACCTACATGTCTCAGGAAGATTAGGGACAAGCAGCAAAACGCCCCAAACACAAATTGTAAGTTGTAAAATGTTTTGAGATACTTCTTTTAAGTTTTCTCCTTCACTAACAGTTAAGCACATCAGTGTTTCATGCATTCAATCATGTTTCTGTAACATAGTTTACAGTAGTGGTTTCACTGGTATTTCGTTTATGTTATACAGTTTTTCTGTTTTCCAACATAAAACCAAAGAGTTTCATCTTGCTGGTATAATTTTGATCATGCCTATACTGCTTTTTTTTGTTACCATACTGTTTTCTTACACCTCCGCTGCAACTGCATATGCATTAGGTAGTGCTGCATACTGCTGGTAGGACAGAATGGCACAAGACATTCTAGCAAGGTTTACAAAGTTCCAGTGGTGGTGAACTCTGCTGGTGAATTGTCCCAGTAGCATTTCATCTAAGTCAGCCAGTACAGCTGTGAAATCTGGTTTTCTTTACTTCATCATATTTCAAATAAATGAGATGGTCATACTGATACAGTTAATCAATTTTTTAAATTATTTTAAAAATTATTTTTGGTAGAAAATCTGCAAACCGAAGTGACCCTTTTCTTAAAGACATCACAGCTTACCACTTAAACATGCTGTGTTTCTGTTTAATAATGTACACCTCTTCAGGTGATCCTGCCAAATATTCCTTCCCAAGGAAAGTAAAGAGTGTATTCATCTGATTCATGTTTTCTAAGCACTGTTCTCTAGTCTGGCCCAAATTTCTGTCTGACACATGAGTAATACCACAGGGTTCCATGAAAATTTCCCTCATTATCATCACAGAATGTGCATCTGTAAAAAAAAAAAAAAAGGTACATCTGGCTCCCTGCGACTGAAAGGCTTCTGTAGAAAATAACAGTCTTTTTGTCCCCATCCTGAGATTCATACAGAGCCTTTAAACCCAGGATAATCGCTCAGAGACACCTGCAGGTGGATGCCTCTTCCTCAGTCTGTTGTGCTGCTCAGTGAGACATGGCACAAACTCCCCAGTGAGAAGAGGAGCTCTGCTAAAGGGACCATGTCACTGCCCCCTCTCCCTCCTGAGGAAGGGCTGAGTGGCCCTTGCCACAGTCTGGACAACAGTGATGGGCCTGTCAAGAATATAAGCAGCTCTTCCAGGCACACAAGTATCCTATAAACAGCTGTGTTAGTGAAAAACACTCTATATATGACTCTGCCCATTTGGTGTAAAAAACCTTGGTGGAGGTAAAAAACATTTACACTGTCCACTTACCATGCTCTCACTTAATAGGATTCATTTTGACCAGTCCTTATTTGTATCTCTGTCTCTAGATACAATATTCACAGTGCATTAGCTTTCCAAAGAAATCTTGAAGTAATTTCTGTAATATTCTGGCCTGAGATAGTTGTGATATTTACCACATACAATCACTAGTCAGAGTGCAACAGTTCCTCAAGCTGAGCTCAGAAATCACACTTTTCTAGCTCCAAGAGTTAGAAAGATTACCATAATGATTCATTTCAGTGGAATTTAGAGCAAAATTCAAAGCCTCTTTTAACAAAAAAATGCTGGGAGGAAGCCCTAAGGTAAAGAAGTTTCAAAAATAAGTGTTTGTACTAGTTTCAGTCTTGATAGGCCACAAACTCTTTGGTAGACTTGTTTAGCACTGCTCTCACTAAATAGGACCACAATGAAGGAAAAGGCACTCTAAGATTTAATATTATATACTATTAATCAAAATGAAGGAAGGAAGGGAAATTACCGAACTGAAATGCACAGACAGAGACTTTGAGCTAAGCATCTTGTATTTCCATGGAGGCAGCCTTTCATCTTGTTTTGGCAGTCACAAAGTAAACACAAGACTTTGCTAATAAGGTATAATATAAATTATTAAAACTTCTAGTGTATGATCAAATGCATTTCAGATTATTTTTTGAATAATTCTGCCTTGACAACTGCCAGGAGTAATATATTTTGTGTACTCTTGCACAGACCCATTGATTGCTGTCTCTGAAACTCCAGTCCCAGAGCAAACCACCGTTCATGAAAGAAATATATAATCACATCAAAACCTAAGATTTGGCATCTGTCGATCACAGCCTAGCTTTTTGTAAGGTCTCACTTCATGTTAGTCAACAAAGACATAAGAGAAACTCTTTAGCTCTGAGCTGAGGTTTTAATAGATTCAAAACATTTCTTACATGCAAATTTCTTTTATGGCTCAGGGGCACTGTTAGAGCTTGAAGTGTTAGCTAACTGCTGTGAAAAACTTCTTGACTGAGCATATCTCAAGATAAATTAGACTTCTGAATTTTTTAGCCCAACCAAGTACATCACACACTTGTACTACTGGCTTTAAAAACATGGACTTTTACATAATCATGCACAACAAGTCTGTGTGACAAATTTAAAGAAAACATGTTAAAATATGCATTACATCTCCTGCTGCACTATTTGAAACTCTGGGCTATTCCTCTTTAAAGGCATTTTTCAGATTTAAAAAAACAAACAGTTACTGAAGGTCACATAGATTACATATGCAAAAAATATGTAAATTAATATGTAAATTGAGCTTCATTGAATAGTTCTGGAAGACACATTTAGTTCTGTAGGTATTAAGAGAACTCCTTTGATTTATTACTTTAAAAATTCTACCAGCCTTCTGCAAATGTGGAATGCTGATCTTAAATTACAAAATAAATGGCACAGAAAATATTTTTCCCCTAATGGAATTAACACGGTAATTGCTACAAGAAGCATCTCTGCCATAATGTATTCTAATGAATGCCCACTATGATGCTGTTAAAAGAAAATGCTGTCTACAACCATGCTTGTGTCAGATGTTATCAGGTGTACACCATTCC